TGAGCTTGATACAGAGATGATGTTAGTTTATGCTTTTGTTGGTTTGGTTAGTAATCTGTGTTTTGTAGTGACAGATCCAGTGGCGGGGCTCCACTTGGTTTCGGTCCCGCTTGGAAAAGTGCGATATCTGCGGAGGTAAGATATGACGAGATCTTATCCGAGCGCAGGGTTGCGACCATGGACTTGGAGTAATATTCGTCAATTGCCTTCCAGATCGCACGAGTGTCCTTGTCGGTTTCGTTGGCAAGGACGACAGATCGCGCCTGTGCCTCTTGGAAGATGTCCTCGAAGGTCTTGTACATCCATTCTCGTTGTTTCTCATCTAGCTCGACGTTGGTGACCGTGAAGTCAGAATCAATGAGGTGGGAGAGACCTTGAGATTTGAGCGTGTTGAGGAAGTTTTTCCTCCATTTGATGAAGGCTGATTCGTCGCGAAACTCTCTGAACTCCGAGCGGATGGGCTTGTTGTTCTTGTCCCAAAGTGCGATTGCACGCTCCCCATCGGTCATTGTGGCATCGCTACGTCTCATTTGCTGCCATGGGATGATTTCGCCGTGTGGCTGGAAAGAGTCCAACTCTGAAAGCATCGAGGGCGGTGGCCGTCTGCTAGATCAGCAGTGAAGCCAGGTTGGTGACACACAGCTGTGTCCTTGGAACCGACCCGATGCCAGTATGCACTAGTGTTTGGCCCATTGCTTGGCCAATCCTCCCCGCATAAGGTTGTCCCGCCAAATCAAGTTCAGAGCATCAATCAGGTCCCGGAAACGTTTGAAAATTGTAATTGTGCGGAATTTTTTGAAAATTGTAATTGTGAGAAATCATTTGAAAACTGTAATTGTGAGAAATCATTTCGAAAATTGTAATTGTGAGAAATCGTTTCAAATTGTAATTGTGAGGAATTTTTCGAAAATTGTAATTGTGAGAAATCGTTTGAAAATTGTAATTGTGAGAAATCGTTTGAAAATTGTAATTGTGAGAAATTATTTCGAAAAATTGAATTGTGAGAAATTATTTTGAAAAATTGAATTGTGAGGAATCGTTCGAAAATTGTAATTGTGTGGAATTTTTGAAAATTGTAATTGTGAGAAATCGTTTCAAAATTGTAATTGTGAGAAACATTTTCAAAAATTTGAAATGTGAGAAATCGTTTGAAAGTTGTAATTGTGAGAAATCGTTCGAAAATTGTAATTGTGAGGAATTTTTCCAAAATTTAAATTGTGAGAAATTATTTGGAAAAATGTAATTGTGAGGAATCGTTCGAAAATTGTAATTGTGAGGAAAATTTTGAAAATTGTAATTGTGAGGAATCGGAAATAATTGAAATTGTGAGGAATTTTTGAAATTGTAATTGTGAGAAATTTGAAAGTTGTAATTGTGAGAAATCATTTCGAAATTGTAATTGTGAGGAATTTTTTGAAACTTGTAATTGTGAGAAATCGTTTCAAAATTGTAATTGTGAGAATCGTTCGAAAATTGTAATTTTGAGAAATTGTTTCGGAAAATCGAATTTGTGAGAAATCATTTCGAAAAATGTAATTGTGAGGAATCGTTCGAAAATTGTAATTGTGAGGAATTTTTTGAAAATTGTAATTGTGAGAAATCGTTTGAAATTGTAATTGTGTAGAAATATTTCGAAAATTGTAATTGTGAGAGAATTTTTCAAAATTGTAATATGTGAGAAATCGTTTTGAAAATTGTAATTGTGAGGAATTTTTTCAAAATTGTAATTGTGAGAAATCGTTTCAAAATTGTAATTGTGAGAAAAGTTCGAAATTTTAATTGTGAGAAATCGTTTCGGAAAATTGAATTGTGAGAAATCGTTTGAAAGTTGTAATTGTGAGAAATTATTTCGAAAAATTAAATTGTGAGAAATCGTTTCAAATTGTAATTGTGAGGAATGTTTCGAAAATTGTAATTGTGAGAAATCGTTTCAAAATTGTAATTGTGAGAAATCGTTTCAAAATTGTATTTGTGAGAAAATATTTTGAAAAATTGAATTGTGAGAAATTATTTCGGAAAATTGAATTGTGAGAAATTGTTTGAAAGTTGTAATTGTGAGGAATCATTTGTGGAGCCAATTTCAATCAATCAATGGATCTCTCAAGTCCATCAGTTGATCTGTATCGCTTGTAGTGTGCCGGTAGGAGGTAAGCCGTTATGAAGTCTAAGAGGATTGCAGGATCAGCACGGACTTCTCAGCCTCTGTGAATTCAGGTTGCAAACAGGAGAGAATCCAAGCTTGGCCGACAACAATGGTGAGTGCTTTATCTAATCGGCTGATCAATCGAATCGATTCGAGGTACATCGTAAGCCTATCTATTGTCAAGAGTGATATGGAAAGTGTAGATTCAAAAACCATTTCTCATTTCTTTCTATGGACCGCGGGCAGGCAGTCCGATCTCGGCCATCAACAGGTGAGTTATTCTTCAATTATTCGAGTCGAACGAGATTGCACCTCTCCGATTATCGCTCACTCATAGCCGACTGTCTCCGTGCAGAATGGAAAACCTTACAGAACTGAATACCATCCCTCATTGAATTGTATGGACCATGGGATGGCAGTCAGTTCTACTTCCCATTATCTGGGTCAAACCGTGCAGCATGTTCCATAATCTTGTCTCCGTTCACCAGAAGCTTCTGGCCAAGACGGATGACGGACAGACGAGAGTCCCCAATCTGATTCATCCAGCCAGTGCTCTTCCACGAGGATCACCAACCTTGAGTCGCAGAGCCCATTGTTTTGTTTGTCTTGATCCACCTCTCTTCTATCGGTGTAACAAGACTGCTCTTTGGTTGTCTTGATCCACCTCTCTTCTATCGGTGTAACAAGACTGCTCTTTGGTTGCCCCGCCCGCCCGCTCCGAGGTGGTCAGGAGAGTCCATTCCCAGACTCAATCACGAGTCTGTGTCATGTCTCTCCTGGGGCTCTGTTCTGCTCAGCTCAAGCGTTGGTGGCTCTCCCCTCAGTCCCGCGAGACTGAGAGACAGCCAACAACCAACCAGCTTTGCCCAGACACATGCTTTCACACTTCCGACCGAAGAAGGTAGGAGTCCGTCGCCCGAAGGGAATCGCGAAGCGATTCCCAATGCCCACCTGAAACCTTCAGCTTCGCCATCAATAAAAAAGTCCAACTCTCCTGTAACAGGATCATTGGTTTCTGGGTCCTCAGCAAAAGTATTGAGCTCAGGACAAACATCAACAGAGGGAGGGAGATGTTTCGTCACCGCCTCATTGAAGAGTTGCTGGAATACAGCTTCCTTGGGAAAAGAGCGGGACTTGCTGGACTGGTGAAGTCGAAGGGCGGACATCGATGAAATCACTAGGCGCATTAGCTCTACGAGGTTTTCTGGTGCATGGTCTGGTCGACTGTAGAAACGATGGAAGTACTGCTGTTGTGCCAGCAGGCAAGTGAACCTTCCATCCACCTTCAATATTCCAGCACGCACCAGTTGTGCACGAGTGTTGCTGGAGTCAGAGGTGTCAATTGCAGATCTCGTGGTGAGAGGACCAGTACAATCACCTTTGTAATCTCGTCGCTCTATTGAGGATTTAGAACTTGGAAGGGAAAGCACCAGTCTAGACGCAATCGGAAGCGAAGCCCTGAAAGAGCCGCCAATGCGTCGCCTTCTGCCGGGCGTTTCTGGGTGTCGTCACCATGCACCGCGGAGATTTCTGAGAGCCCAGCAGTAAGAACTCCCACATGGCCATTAGCCAACCATAAGATTTTGTCCCTCACAGCATCCCAATGTTGTGCAAAGTATAACCTGGAAGCTTCATGTAGCCATCGTATATTTCTTCAGACTCTTCCATGGTAAACTTTTTTAAAAACATCCTTCACATGAGGGTAGTCCCGGAAACTATTAGGGGTTGAGCCTTGAGAGTTCAAATCATAAGTGGCAGCAATGGCAACGTAAACGTTTCTGACAGGGGAGTTTTCTAGATGTTTGACAACAGCCAGCCAAAATCCACGGCAGGCTTCCCCGTAAACCAATTGTGCATCATCAATCAGGATCCACGTATTCTTGTTTGGATTCAGCTCCGAGTATCCTCCTGGCAAGTCCTTCGTCACGCCAAGCTCCTCGCGCAACCACTTAAGTAGCCCCTCGGTGTTTTTGGTTGCTTCTGCTTCTTCAATCATGATGAGACGCTTCACAGAATTCACACCACCTGTCTCGAGAGTATCCTCCAACAGATCAAGCAAAGAGGTCTTGCCCGTTGCAGGAGGCGACCATATGATGCAAACGCTCTTGGACGTCGCCAGCTGGATGGTCTCGTCGACCACGTTCAACCTCAGGACTCTCACGGGTGCCCTCTTCACTCCGCTTCGTGGAGGAGTCTTAGTAGTTAGTTGGTTCTGCTGGAATGCCGCGTCTTGGGGAATCGGAACGTTGGCCCAGACAAATTGAATAAATCTTTTAACTTGAACATTCAACAACAACAAAACTAACCATTGAAAGTAGGAAAATCCCAAGTTGATAAGTTGAGGCTTCTATTTGCATAGTAAGACCGTCCGTTCGCATCTTTTTTCTTCTGTCCATCCTGGCGGCAGCGGCCGAGGACGAGGCGGAAGCGGGAAGCGGTGGCGGGGGCGAGGACCGGGTGCTGTTCGGTTCCGTTATTGCAGCTGTTCCTGTTGTGGTTGCTGTTGCTGCTGTGGTTGCTGTGGGTGTTCTTGTTGTGGTTGCTGATCGCTGCATGGTGCTTGTACTAGCTACTATTACTAGTACCGTAACTTCTTGTGCAGCAAGGGTGCAATCACTGTACCGCACCACGTCTCCTGTCGAAAAGTTCATCGTGGGATACAGCTTGCGCGCCGTGGAAACTCCTCTCCAGCCGACAAGTTCCGACAAGGGAAACCAGGGTAGCTATCGTAGCTTGCAGAAAGCTCTCATTGTTGCGGCCGCCTCTTGTTTCCTCTTCAATACTACCACCGCCGCCGCCGCCACCACCACCACCAACAACCAACAACGACATCTTGGCTGCTACCGTAAACGATGGCAAGTGCATCTGAGCTTCTCAAAGCACTGCCTGATGCCAAGTCAAAGAGAGTCTGCTGGGGGTGCAACATGCTAGAGCCGGCAGACAAGCCTTTTAAGAATCAATGCACTCGATGCAAACACGAAGGCTTTGTTCCAGCGCTCTTCTGCTCCAAAACGTGTTACAAGCAAGCATGGCCCCAACACAAAGAGTGGCATGAAACGTCACATACAGGCAAGCAGAAGCTTCAGGAAAATTTTGAAATCCATTTAGCGAGAACCCCCGCACCTGACTCTGAGTATTGCATCCTCCTACAGCAAGCTGGTAAAATATTGGGGACTGGCGACTTGAACAGGGCAAAGAAAATCTATCGAAAAGCACAGAAACTAGACCCACGCCGCCCGGAAGCCTTCCAAAACGTCTCTGCCTGCTTTGTTCACTCAGGTCAATGTGAAGAGGCTAGATATTACATGCAAGAGGCAGTAAAACGCTATGCATTTGCTGCATTGATAGGATATCGCGGAGACAGAAAGCTGCATGAAAGTGAGATCACCCAAGTCATTGGGGACTGGGCTAGTGATCTTTTCATTCTGTCTGAAGGTTATGATTCCAAGAACGAAGAAGGAAACCGCAGCCCCCCACCAAACTGGTGGCTTCAGGATGGGATGTTCAAAAGGATCACAAAGGTGGCACTCAATACAGCCATGGCTTGTATCAAAGATCCAAACTTGCATTGTAAAGATCCGCAGGAACACCGCCGCCATATTTTAATGTGGTCAGCCTGGCGGGTGCGTACGCTCACTAGATTTCTCAGCCAAGATCACGATGCGACTTTGCCTTTGTCTCGTACAGCCGAAGAGTTCAGGGAAGTGGCCGAACTCTGCCTGTTTCTATCCGCAAATGTAAACGCCAAAGGAGAAGAGAAGGATGGTTCTGTTTTAGATGAAGAAGGCATCAATAGTCTTTTGGCTGGGGGGATTTCTGCAACAGTTTGCAGTGCAGCTGCAGAGAACACATCAGAGGGCTCTGCTTTGCAGAGAGGTGAAGCTGGCCTTTGGGTTGTGATCCATGGCCTTTGCAGTCCTTCAGAAACTGCAATGAACAACCAATTTGCTCTGGTTTGCTTGGATGGGTTGGAAGATGGTCGAGTTGCTGTGAAGGTGGATGGAATCAGTGAAACCAAGAGGATTCTAGCCTGCAACTTATGGGAAGTTCCCTTTTCCGAGACAAAAGTGGCTCTCATTTCAACTCTGGAGGATGCCATCCAGTGGCAGTTTGTCCGAGGCTCCAGGGAACTGGCTCTAGCTCGTGTCATGGCAGGACGGAACTGATGCCTGAATCAGGACAAGAAGGACGAAGATCCTTCCAACTATTTCGCCCTTCGAGCACCAAATAAAAATCACAGACCTGACCTGGCTAACTAGTACAGTACCCTTCCTTGGCTAGGAAAGTCAATTGGGTTGTTTCGAATCTACAGCGTGGCCACATTTTGCCTGTGCGACTTGTAAATTCATCTAAAGTATAGCTCCCATGAAGAATTACTGCACATTTGTTGAAACCTATTGTGGCTCCTCCTTCCCCAATTCAATCGTAGACTTGATTGCTCCTACACATACGAGTAGACGCACGTGCTGCCACAGCCCACACTCACATTTACTTGACCAACGTATCCATTGTGTGTACACGAGCCCCCACTTGTTTGTTTGCTCTTTCGTTTGCAATCAATGAAACGAGAACGCAGAGGATTCACGATCTCCCTCCGAGAAACCATCATTGGAGTTGGCTAGTTCCAGCATTTGTAGCCGATACCTCTGTCGATCCTCTTTGCGTTTGCTTGCATCCGTAGTGTCCTTGGTGATTTCCTCTTGTTGATTGTTGTTGCCGTGATGACTCCTGACGGACGATGCCTCGTTGCTGTTGACAACAGAAGCCACCTCATTATTATGGCTCTGGATGGAAGATGCATCCCCCGGATTGGTACGCACACTGCTGCTCGTGACACCTACGGATGCCCGAAACACACTTTGTCGAATCGTACTGACAAAGGATAGGCACTCTCCGTCGGACATGAGTCGTCCCAGGCGTTTGCGCAAGAAAATATAGCAATTGAATATGCCTCCCATGGGCGCCACGAATTTGGTAACAAAGCAGAATCCAAAATAGAGGCGCCGATTGTGCGGCGTCGTGTCGGGGAAACTGCCCAGAAACAGGCGTTGCAAGAATCCGGGGAAGGAAATCATGTAATAGGCCAAAATGTAGAGGCATGCTTGGATTCCGGTTTCTCGGGATCGTCGAAAGGCATCACTGCTGCTGCCGGCATATCGTTGCATGCGTTGATCCAAGTGTCGGACCCGCAAGTACAATAGAATCATGGAAATGGTAATGCCCACGGCGCACAAGAGCCATCCAGTGGTACCGGCCGTGAGACTGAGTAATATTTGATCCGGACAGAGAATATCGTTGGGACAGATTATATCTCCGCCTCGTTCACAGTGATGTTGTCCGTCCTCATGATAATAATTGCAGCGTGGTGGGTATACCCCAAAGTAGCACCAACCGGGCAACACATAGAGGGGCACATACCACTTGTGCACCATGGATGCGCTACTGACTCCCGCGGACGAAATCCAGGCAACGAGATGAATCAAGGGTTCGACTCGTTGGGCATACGTTTCCATTCTCCACTCGAGTCGCAGGGTCCATAAAAAGTACAGCGCCAATCCCAAATTGTAGTACGACGTGGCGTTGATGAACGAAAAGAAGAAACCACTGGCATCACAGGTATTCCAATTCCCCACGGCTCCAAAGACGTAGTCGACAGAGCTTGGCACGGCCCAGGGTCCCATGGCAGACATGCCAAAACTGGACAGGCAATCGCTCGTGGCAATGCCCAGCATGAGCCGTTCAAAGGGAGTCACTCGTCGTCCTTTCTTGGCATCGTGATAAATCACGTAGGCAATGGTCAAGGATCCTAGGAAGGAACCAAGCCCGGTCAACACGGACACATAGCCAAGGACAGCTTGTTGCGCAGGTGTATAGAGACCCGTGTTGTCATCATTTGAGTATGCTATCGTGTCGTTCATCATCGTAGTATAATTCGATATCCCGTTGTGAAACATGTCGGATTCATTGCCATCCGTCAACCTGATGCCGTTTTCTACCTCGGCGATAGCATAGAAGGACATGAGTTCTCTTCTTTCTTGATGGTATACTGTTGCTCAATGGGCGTTCGGTGTGGCGGAAAAGTGTCTTGCCAGTGTGTGCATGGTGCATGGATGCTCTGGATTACATCCATGACACAACATGACTGCATTGTATTGCGACGATGACTGCATTGTGTATTCGTAGCGAGACGTCCATGGGGAGTTTTGTGACTTTGTGACCACTTGTAGTGTACCCGCACCGTAAAAGTATGGTACCAGGTACAAGTACCGTAGCTACGATGCAGGGCTGTGCTTGGAGAAATAATGGTCGGGGGTTTAAGAGTTTCCACGCCACGGTAACACCTCCAGTCGGAAGGATGTTCTTTTCTTCGTGCGTGGACAGGGTGAATTAGAGCATCTCAAAAAAGTCAATGGTACGAGATCCCCATATGCCCTCGATATGAGAAAAATAAATACTAAATAGATACGTTAAGGAGCGAGGGGGGCGAGGCTAGGCAAAGCAGTGGCTGCGGTGGTGGGTGGCTGTTGTGGTGGGCATACGGGGAGAGCAATGAGGACTCGAGCAGGGCAAAACAAGGGGGGGCAGGGAAGGGTGATATTCTAGCCCTCAGTCGAGCTATGTCTCCTATTAAAATAGCTACGGCAGCGCAGCTGCATCTTTGTTGTGACTCGTCCACGGTGTGCCTTCTAAAGGTACGGTACGTGGTAAGGTACTAGTACTTTTTTGTTCAACGGGCGCCAGGAACCAACGCGCTTCACCTCGCATTACCTAACGACCACCGCGGGCATGTTTCGCCGTCCGACTGGCTTATTCAAAGAGAGCGACGCGCCGATCTGAGTCATGCAGTGACAACAATACAACAGCAGTTCCGTTCCATGCCCGATGCTGCGGCTTCAATTGAGTCGAGTCTTCAGGTTTATCTAGAATAGTTGTTTATAATGTTCACTCCAGATGATAGTCAAAGTGGCGACAAAAGCAATTCGACGCTACTTCGCAGTACTGATCGAGAGCAAGGGCAACAACATGAAGAGTCCATACCCGTACCGGTAGCGGACCCACCCAGTTTTATTAATGTCCCAAGTCCCGAAGACATGAGCTGTGCTTCGTCGGTGACCACTCACTTCCAAGATGCTCAGCTATTTGTTCCACACATGTATCCCTCATTACAGAATCTACACGACTCGGATGATGTAGAGAACCCTACCTTTCAGCCAGTCACACAGCAAACAAAGGCAACAACGAATCAGTCTGTTTTACCATCTCTTGCAGAGGAATCCTCACCAGAGCCCTCAGATGGCCGTAGTAACCCACTGGCTGAAAATAGAATCACAAAGGAACAAGAAAAGGCTACCAAAAGAGAGACATCAGCTGATGTTACAACCCTAAGCAGCTTGGAGTCCAAAATCCAGCAGAAAATCCAGCAAAACACTGGACAAATTCAGGATGAAACAGATAGAGATACTGGCATAGATCCAGTGGTTCAAAAAGAACACAGTGAGGTCGAAATAACCAGGAAAATTCCCACAGAAGACGGAGAAAGTGTTCGTGTCCTTCGTTTGGGCCACAACAAAGATCCAGGAATTCTTGATGGCAGGAGAAATGCTGCCGCTTCTGCTGTGATTTCTACTGTCGACGAGGATAAAAGCACCCTACCATCACAAACTTTCCAAGATTTTCCAGGGTCCCAAGATTTGCCAGGACCCGGGAACCAGCCACGCAACCCTGTCAGTGCGCCAGGTGCGCATGCTGTGTGCACTCCATGCGGAACCTCCTCACAACAACAAATGAATCCATCAAGTAGGGCTGAAAATTTGAATACAGCTGATGATGAAGAGGAAAAAAGAGAAGATACACTCCCACAAGCTTTGGCAGAGGCGCAACCAGTTGCTGAGGGTGACTTGCCCATTGCCACGGCTGATGGTGGCAGTAAAAGGAGATACCAAAGAAGCAATTCAACATTCTATCTCATGGGAGGAATATTCTGCATTCTAGTCATTAGCGCTATTGTTATTGGAGCTGTTTGTGGCACAGGGCACTGCAGTCAGAATGTGTATGCAGATGGCAGCAGTACCATTGCACCCACCACGACAAGAGATGCTGTTGATGCACCCAAAATTGAAATTGTCCTGAACAGCCTCCTCGGAAAGGACTACTTTCAAGAAGTGGAAGAGGGATATGATGATGATCTGACTGAATTTATGCTGAAGACAAGGCAGCAAGCATTCGATTGGATAGTCAATCAGGATCCCATGCAGCTAGAGTATAATTCCCCCAATTTGGTTCAGAGGTTTCTGTTGGTGCTCTTCTACCACCAAACCACGAGGCATCAACCATGGTTTGAGTGCAATCCACCATCAACTTCTCAGGGGACCACCTCATCCAATCTCTGCTATGGGCTGGATCCTTTTGAAGGGAAACCACCATTGCACCTCTGGGGAAATCGATGGCTCTCGCAAAGCCATGAATGCCAGTGGGCTGGAATCACCTGTGAGACTGTAAAATCAAAAGAGAAACAGGTGACATGGCTACACATGTGTAAGTCTCGCAAAAGTGTTGGGATTCGTCATGTTTTAGTTGTTTCTGACACTTGATGGCAAATCTTCAGACAGGAATCAGCTTAATGGCCCTCTCCCATGGGAGATAACACTATTGCCAGAGTTGAAGCAACTACTTCTTGCTTGGAACATGCTGACTGGAGTGCTACCTCCTGAGCTACAATTCCAAGAATCCAGCCCCTTGCATTTTCTAAACTTGGCTTGGAATGAGTTTATAGGGACAATCCCTGCAAGATGGTTTGAAAACCTCAATGAACAAAGTGCCAAGCTTGCCACGCTCGGGATCTCATCAAACAGGCTGACTGGGACGATTCCATCCGAGGTGGGGTTGTTCCCCTTGAAAGAACTGTATCTCGAAAACAATACTCTGACAGGTTCCCTACCAAGAGAACTGTTTGACCAAACTTCTTTTCAGCTTCTCAATTTGCGGAACAATGATGTGAGTTTTAAAAATCACCTTTGGATATGCCCGCACAATGTAGAGATTCTGTCCTCATCTTTAGTCTTTTCTCCAAACAGCTTACTGGAATTCTACCAAGTGAGATTGTACTGTTAACCAATTTGCAAGTCCTTAAATTGGATCATACCGGCATTGGGGGATCCTTACACTCAGAGATTGGCCTGCTGAGCCAGCTTGGATGGATTGGTGTTACATTCACCAACATGCAAGGAACCATCCCTGGAGAGTTGTATGGACTCAAGAATCTACATACTTTTGCCATCAGTAATTGCAACTTTTCTGGGACCATTAGTTCTTCACTTGGTCAGTTGACAAAGCTCTCTACGTTGCATCTAGCCAACAACCAGTTCCATGGCAGCCTCCCCAGTGAGATTGAGGCACTGACACAGCTGGATAATTTGCTGGTGAATGGGAACAATGAGCTGACAGGCACTGTCCCTGTATCCCTTTGCCAAAACTACTTTGCAGATGAAAAGAAGTCTCTCCGATTTGTGGCTGACTGTTTGCCCAATACACAAACAGGAGTTGCAGCAATCCAGTGCACTTGCTGCACCAGTTGTTGTGATGAGACGGGAGTTTGTCTTGCTAGCTAGCTAGCTATTCAATAATAGCCGGCCATGCTTTTCAGCTTGAAATCTGCCCAAGCTTTCAAGTTGAAAGATTTCAACACGGTCTGTGGAGTCCCTTGTATTGTTCTGCAAGCTTAATGTGGATGCGTTTAGTGGCTGTTCAACAACAACTAAACACGAAGTAGATACTAGTACTTTAAGGAGGGAGGGGGCTAAGCTAGGCAGAGCAGCCGCGTGGGTACCGGTAGCACTCGGAGAGCAGAGCACTACATGTAATCATAATCCTTCGCACCAATTTTAAAAACGGTGGGCTCTATGGCCTCTTTGGTGCACCTTGATCGATCGGCTGCATGCTGGCGGCAACAAGAAAACTTGGGGACAGAGGGAGGTGTGGTAAATACTGTTTTCTCCTCTAGCCATAAACTGAAAGAGCAAACTATAGCTTTAACCCTATAATTACTGCAACTACCTTTCCAAAGCAGTCTTCCTGGCACCGTGATGCGTTGGAGCAGAGCAAATTGAATTCACGAGAACGAACCTTGCAAAAGAAAAAGAGGTGTTTCGACTTACTTTTGCCGTTGCCACAACATAATATGCGCCGATTGGTTTCGTTGGTTACGGTACGGTAGCTATTCAAGTCCAACTCATAGTAGCCACAATAATAGAGAAGACAATAATAATAAGGCAAATAAAGTACAGTAAATCTCAAGTCGCAGCCATGCGGACATCTGCAGTGTTGTTTGTGTATCCGTTTTTGGCTGGGTTGATTTTCGGGACCTTTCAGAAAAGCTACACTCGCATGGCATCCATAAGAGAGGATGTTGCTGCTGCCAAGACGACTACCGGAATGACCAATGCTAATGCTAATATATCCCATGCTCCAAATAATCGAACTGCAGCTCCATCTCCCAACCACAACAGCTCCTTCCAGCAGCAGCAGCAAAAGTACCGGTATACCCCCAAGGACCATTACTGTTCCGACAAGTGCCACGACATGTTTGCCACTGTGTTGGGCTTATTGAGCCAAGAAGAAACAAACGCCAATCTGACACAAAAACTCCACAAAGCATCCGACTGGAAGAACTGTCATTGCGACAACCGATTCTGCCAACAACCCCTGAAATTGCGACCCCCTCCCACATACAGTGTCATTGGACATTCCTTGACGTACTGTCCGTGGTCCAATCAAGCCATTGATACACTACTGCAGTTGCTCAATCGCAACCAAAACGAAACTAGTGTTTGCACACCCTCAAAGGTGGAACAGTTTTATCCCGACAAAGCGTGGGAACGATACAATTTTGGAGATTTCTTCAAGAAAAAGGGAATTTGGGAGACGGACCAACAATGGCACCAAACACCCAAACCAGCCGGGAGTCTCATGGAGGCATTCTACAAGTACGGTACACAGCACTACAATCTGTCCAATTCAGAGGTATACAGTGCCAACAAGTACAAAATATTGGCACATGTCGTATCGGAACGAATACGCAACAACACCACCAACAACATTGCATTGCCTCCACCCAGAACACTGGTCATTCATTTGCGACTCGGAGATGTCATTGATTCCGCCGCAGACTCGGTCGCGGAGTTACTCCAAGAGCCTCCAAAGTATTATTGGCGACAACTTGCCAGTGGCAAATGCTGTGGCAAGCCGTGGGAGCGCCCGGACGCTCCACCCCATGCCATTGCCTGGAATCAATACGTCCGACCCCTCTCGTACTATACGACGCGTTTGCTCCAATCCCCCCAACAATTGACACAATACGACACGGTCGTACTCATGGGAGCGGCCCACAAGGGACAAGACTTGCCGTCAGACGTTTCGTCGGCACGAGGCAGTTGTCTCTACACGCAGGCACTCGAAACATATGTGCGCACCATTTGGCCTCATGTCAACGTTCGATGGAGGTTGGCACAACCGCCCGATAGTGACATGATCTTTGCATCGCAGTCGGCGGGAGTACTGCAATCGGGAGGAGGCTACTCCATGATTCTCAAACAACTGCAAAAGCAATTTGTGGCCATGCAACAACAACAACAACAGCAGTCGTAGTACAGTACAGTACAGTACTGTACTGTAGCATCCATGATGTTTGTGTATATCGTACAAGACAAGAATCCGACAATCTGCGAGACGAAGACGTCCGTAATATAATAGAATGCTCTGTGATGGAGCGATCGTCGTCTCCGACCGGAAGCAGTCGTGGCGAGGCTATGCAAAGGAGCTGACTCGACTCGACTCGACTCGACTCGACTCAGTTGCGAGCTTATTGCATGGTGACATTTGCTGACTTGACTCTCGTACCATGGTCTATTTGCAATATCGATCGAGCTATGTTAGTACGATCGACGCGACAATCAATTAACCCATCTAGCTAGCAATCATCTACGGTATACTTTACTAAGCAGCCTACAAGATGATACAGGCGATACAGTAGTATCGAATTCGGCCATCACTTTGTTTCAAGGAACGTGATGAAGATTTGCATGGAAGCACACGGAGCGCTCAATCGAATCTGCTGTACCTGTATCAGTATCGATCGATGATGATCCTCTGACTCCCGTTACGACGACATCACGAAAGCAAGCCCTCGGTTGCTGTAGTAGTTTCGGGGCTACGGTATCTCGCTAGCTACGGTAGCTTCTCGCCAGTCCCAGCAACGTCTTTTGTTATGTTCGTAACAGGCGCGCCGGAATTGTTAGAGACCAGCCAATTGTTGTACATCGTGATGCGGCAGCCCAGAAACTCCTGCCCTAGTTGAACAGAACTAAAACAGCGAGGGCAAACTTCGTGGCTATAACTGGTACCAGTACCAACAGGGCAAACAAAATTAGCGGGGTAGAGCAGATTCCAGGGAAACAACAAGGCTGAACCGCCTAGAGTAGAGTTTCAATTGAGTCGAGTCGAGTCCTGGAGATCTAAATGCTAGCTGGCTGCTCAGTGTACTACGGTAGCCACCAAGTTTTTTACCCACTTGCCTTCTTGACCGGGCAGGTCGCCGAGCCGAGCTGTTGGCTCTGGAACGGATCCGATGCTGAAACTTTCAGAGTCCTACTAGCTAGCTAGTAGCCAGCTGACTGGCAGCCAGCCAGCTGATAGCTCTGACTACAGCTAGCTTGCCGGAACTTCTATAGCTGGCTACCGGTACTACAAGCTACTGGCACCAGGTTCTTGTGACTGCAAAGGGGTTGACCTCCAACCCCAGACTGTTTCATGATTGGCTTGCGTTGAAATGCGACGCACTCTTTTACGGGCACCCTTGTTTTTGGGCGGTGAAGGCCAAAATCATCTATTGGAAGCGGGACCTGGTCACCTTGCAGATCCTTTCCCTTCTTTCACCTCTCTATAGCCACTGCTAGCTACTGCTAGCTGCCCTATTTTGCTTGCTTTTTCAGTAGCCAGCTTTCCTTTAGGACCATCAAATCATTCTCCACATCTTGAAATGAAGTTTCTCGTTGCTTTGCTGCACCTCGCCCTCTTGGCTGCCACTGCTCGTGCCGATGCTACCGAGCCCGACATAACCTTCAACGGCGACGTCGAGGATGCTTGCCTGACCCCTCGTGTGATTGCCGATGCTCTCGTCCAGGCCTTGTTTGTGGAATTTGATGCCAATGCCACCGCCGCACTCTTGGCTCCCGACTACATTCAACACAACCCCGGCGTTCCCACCGGTGCGGCTCCCGTGTTGGGCTTTATCCCTGCTCTCGAAGCCAGCGGCTTGGGTATTGAGACCCACCGAACGATCGAAATGGGCAATTTGGTAGCGTATCATTCAACTTACACCAACGCCAGCTTGTTTGGAGGAGATACATTGGTCGGCTTTGACGTGTTCCGCGTCGAAGACGGGCTTGTGCAAGAGCATTGGGACAATCTGCAAGAGTTGGCTGGACCTAACCCCGATGGAAATACGATGACCGATGGAGCAACCATGGTCAAATATCTTGGTGAAACCGAATACAACCAGTGGTTGGTCACCAGCTTTATTGAGGAGGTCTTCATGGGGGGCAACTTTAGCGCCTTGCCGTATTACATCAGTTCTGAAATGTATATTCAACACAACCCAGACGCCGCCAATGGAATTGACGGGTTCATTGAAGCGTTCTCGGGTGCCTTGGGAAACATCACCTATGACTCCATCGAGTTCGTCGTAGCTCAAGGCAACTTTGTGTTGGTTGGCGGTGAGGGTACTGGCGGAGGCTTCCCACTTGCATTCTACGACTTGTTCCGCGTGCAAGATGAGTTCTTGGTGGAGCATTGGGATGTGATTCAGGCCATTCCTGCTCCTGAGGACTTTGCCCACGACAATGGAAAGTGGTAAGGTAGCAAACTTTCCCTATCAGCACCCTGGATTGGGTTCATCAGACGCGATCGCGGGACTCCGTTACCTGGTTGTTAGTAGGGTGGTTTATAGCCAAGAATTGATCATGCTGGGACAAAAGATCCTCAACCCAATTTCTAATTCTATGTTCAAATTTCCACTTTTCTACTGGGGAAACATCACCTATAACTCGATCCAGTTGGTTGTAGCTCAAGGCAACTTTGTGTTGTGAGGGTACTGGCGGAGGCTTCCCACTTGCATTCTACGACTTGTTCTGCATGCAAGATGAGTTCTTGGTGGAGCATTGGGATGTGATTCAGGCCATTCCTGCTCCTGAGGGCTTTGCCCACGCCTACAAGACTGAAAGTGGTAAGGCAGCTCCAATCATTAGAACACCTCCCTACCCTCGTCCAGGTGCACAAATTATGAGCTACGGTATTTTAAGATTAAGAAAACATACAAATGTAGCACTACTGCCTATCCTCGACAGTCGCCACCAGCATGTAGGGGCTCTGCAATAGCTCAACGAGTCGTGCTTCCAAAGTATGGTCGCACTAATGTTGATGGGCTCGATGTAGTTTCTTCACTGAATATGAAGAGTTCCTGATGTTTTGTTGAAACACACCACCTTGAAAGGGCCAACGCCTAAGCTGCATCTTCGGATCCATCGGACGGCTCTTGATCAGAATGTGATCACCCTTCTTGTAGTCATGGGCAATCCTTCTTCGGTTCTCTCGAGTGTTGTTCACTTGGACCGCTGCTTCCCGTTAGACGTCCGCTTCCATATCTCTCTGGTAAACCGCCCAGTTGAGATGGTGAATACTTGGTCACTCCGTGGACATGGCATAGGCCGCCGCACTTGTCAGGTCCTTGATACTAGGATCCTCCTTGAGGTGCTTGGTTGCAATCTGGACACGAGGCATGTCTCCTAAGACCTTGTGCATTCGCCCCATAATGGCATTCGCTCTTGGATTCTTTGCAGTGATTGGTTCTGGTTAAACGAACCATGGGGTACATGTAGCATGAAAACTTCTACAGTCAAACTCGCCACCTTGATGAAAGATAACTCGACTTGGTCGTGGATATCATTGTAGCCATTCCTGAATGAGTAGATCTGCAATCATCTCACTCTTCTTGGTCGTGATTGGAATGATCTCGGGCCATCCAGTGAAAACATCGATGATCGTCAGGGTATGAAAGATTATTTCCTTGTTGTCCACCGTTGCCTTCCACGGTCTGGAAAGGTCCACTGCCACATCCTTCCATGGCTCGGTCTCTGGATCCTTCAATGGAATCTTACCGTAACCTCGCATTCCTCGCTTACCTAGTTGACATGCATGACAGCTTCTAATGTAGGTCCGAATCTGTTCTAGCATCTTCGGCCACGTGTAATGTTGTCGTAAAGTATTGTAAAGATGGTTCACTCCGGGATGAACAAGAGTGGTGTGATACCACTCCAGCAATCGTTGAGTCAATGCCGCCGGCACAATTATGCGGTGGTCTCCATCTACCAATGATGCGGTGGTCTCCATCTACCGCATCCGTCTCAGTGATGACCCTGTCAGGTCCGCTCTTTCTTCCGGTGTCTCACTAAGATGGTCTGGTGCTTGCTGCCTGAGGGTTTGCACCTACTTGTCCTTCTTCTGTGCTCGCCCAATTTCAGCAATGGTCAGAGGCTGATAGAATTGCCTCCATGTTCGAGGAGTCATCTCGAAAGCTTCCTCCACCAGCGCGAAAGCTTCTTCCTCGGTCATCTTCTTCTCACTTCCAGAACATGGAATCCTAGAGTCAAGTCTGCTCACCGGCCACACTAGCCTCCTGAGAGGGTTTTCGCCCTAGACAGAGAACGTGATGAAGATTCTATGGAAGCAAACCAAGCGCCCCTTCGATTCTGCTGCTGTAGTAGTGTTGAGCGGTGGTGACCATCTGGCTCAAGGTAGCGACAGCACGAAAGCAAGCCAGGGCGCCCTCCATTTGCTGTAGCAAAATCAGGGATATCGCGCTGGCTCTTCAGTCCCAACAACGTCTTTGTCTTTGTCATGTTCGTAACAGACGTATAGTTCAGACATAGTTTTAGAGACTAGCCCCCAATTGTAGAACGTACGTCATGGTCCACATCTCTCGTTACCGTGATGTGGCATCCTAGAAGCTGCTGCCCGAGTTGAAGACTTCGTCGAAAGTGCACAGTGACCACACTGTGCAGTCAAACTTCGTGGCATAGACCGACAGGGCAAACATAAATTGGATCATGGAGATCCCAAGTCCAGCTACTAGTAGCCGGCCATCCACCTAACCTCTTACCCACCTACTGTAGGTCGAGGACACCGAGCTGGCACTCGTCTCGGGAGCGGATCGGATGCTGAAACTTTAGAAGTGCTAGCTAGCAGCATCCAACCCCACACATCACCAACTTTTGGAACACTTATTTACCCATAGAAACCTCCCCACTCCAGACTCTGGCTAGCTAGACCCCCTTGTGACCTTCAGAACACCGGTCAGCGTTTGTGATTGGCTTAGTCGAATTGCGGCCTTAGGCAAGCTATTCTAGGTGGAGTGTCTCAGTCGAGTCAGGTACGAGACGTCATTTGAAGTGAATCTTCGATTGGACGGGACTTTTTAAGTCCCGGTTGAAGCAAACGGCAAAGATACTTCGCTTCTTTCCTCCTGGCCACGTACTAACCCTTTCTCTGAGGTCCCAACTCGAAACTATAGGTTCAGTATCACAACACAACCAACAAGTAGCAACCATGATGAAGTCTGTTTTGATCGCCTCTCTCCTTGTCGGTGCCTCGGCCTTTGCTCCCTCCAAGGATGCTGCCACCAGCAGCGCTTTGTCCATGGGATACAGCACTGAAGTTGGAGCTACAGCACCCCTTGGATTCTTCGATCCCCTTGGTCTGTCCAAGGAAGGAACCGACTCTGCTGATTTCAACCGTATGCGTGAAGCCGAAGTCCGACACGGACGTGTTGCCATGCTTGCTGTCACTGGTTGGTTGACCACTGCTGCTGGAGTTCGTCTTCCCGGTATGGAAAGCATGCCTTTCGGATTCAAGGCCCTTAATGCCATCCAAGATCAACCAATGGAAGTGCGTGGATGTGTTCCATTCGCCCTTGGAACTGCCTTCTTCTTGACCACCGTCATGCAAGATGTGACTGGCGACAGCGAATTCCCCGGTGACTACCGCAATGGACTTGACTTTGGATGGGACAGCCAAACAGATGAATGGAAGACGAAGAAGCGAACCGTTGAATTGAACAACGGACGTGCCGCACAGATGGGTATCTTGGGTATCATGGTCCATGAACAACTTGGAAACCTCAACGAGCTTGGTCTTCCCCAACCCTAAGAAGCGACGATTCGTTTCAATCTCATCTCTGCATGCATGACCCCTTTCTTTTTTGCTGCGGTACTAATAGCTAGCTAGATAGTGGTTTTGTACTTGTACTTCATTTGTCTTCAACCTAGAAAAATGGAACTTTCAACGTAGGATTTGGAATTGAGATGGACGTCCTTTGTCGCGGCATTAGTCTAGGAACTTAAAGTGGATACTGGTCTCCGAAAAGCAAGTTTGTTGCTTTACGACACCCCGTTGCTGGCAGAGTCCTCAGGAGGAGGAATGGGTTGAATCACATCCCACTGCTCCACCAAAAACCCGTCGTGCACGCGGAACAAGTCGTAGCTCACCGCCAACCAACACAAAGTTGCTTTGAGTTGCAACCAACTTGATCGAGTCACAGGTGATGTATCCCAAGGCACCCCAAGACCGAAGTTGCCTCCGCTAGCACTAGCCTAGATGATGCGAAAGAAGAGAAAGGATATGGAACAAAGATGGACTTTCCAAGTGACCAGGTCTCGCTTCCATTTGCTTTTGGCCTGCGCCGCCCAAAAAGGAACGCGGTGCTCTGTAGACATTCTGCTGCTCCGACCTCGACTCGATTCGACTAACACTCAGCTAACTCCGTGCCGTTCGTGAAACTCGTAACTCCATTAGTAGTACTGTACGGTACTGCAGCAGAGCCCAAGGCCAGGCCGTGGAATGATTGATCCTCGTTCCATCGACTCTTTCTCTTGGAAGCTGTCTTAGTAAAGTTGGGCTTGTTTGGCCGACCAGCAAGTGATGAGGGCGCTCGGCAAACCTTTGAGGTACTAGATGACTCGAGATACCTCTTCCAAGGCTTTCATCGGTGCTACTGTAAAACAGCACAGTATGGCACAAGCACCTCCAGCGAGTTCCATAAGTAAGTGCGCAGACGCAGACAGCCATTGATTATCTGCAGGGGAACCTTCACTTGTAACACAGACACCGGCGTCTATTTGGAAGTAAATATCTCGTTCATCAAAGCAAACGAAGGTGAAGCAAACCTTGTGTTGCTCCCAGCAGAACCTCATGTAAGCGCGCGGGAGTGCCCTCGAGAGCAGCAAATGGCCGTTTCGTTCCCTCCACCGACGACATTGGGGGGAGTCGAGTCTTCGGTACCACCAGAACAACGCAGCGCGTTACGGATACGGTACATTGAATGTCGTAGGGGTTAATTCGCCTACTTTTCGCCTTGATCAGGATGGCTCATTGTAAGTCTGCACCACAAGTCTTTGAAACGGTCGGCAATGCATGAAGAGAGATCTGACAAACGGAAACACGCACCTTGCCCTTTTGCATCCACCCCAGTGCACCATCCATGTAGCTCCTTGTATGTACATTCACCGAAACAAAGAAGTGTTGCTGGGCGGTGTATCCCTCCACAGCTCTTCTCCGAAGAAGAAAAACTGAACGTCTAATAACGGATTCAAACGAGATGTGCTTGAGGACGACCCACGAGCCGAGGCCCGGGTATTTCCCACAGTCAAGTCTGCTCACCGGCCTCAACAGCTCTTCTCCAGAAGCCAAACTAATACACGTTCCTATCCGTCCAAAGACACGCTTCCTCTTTTAATGAGTTTGTGGCGGGGGGGGGGGGGCTTCTTTTCGTTGCAATTATCTGTTTCATTGTAGCTTTGGGCTTGCGACAGTGGCGATGCGATGCGCTTTGTGCCCAGATGTACGGTACATGTACATGTACATGTACATGTAGATGCAAGGTATACACCATCGTCAGCTCTACCGGTATGCCTTTTGTGTAAACGATATATGGCTGACCAGTGTCAGAAAAGTGGGAATGGCTACGATGCGTTAGAGGGGACTGCATGTACCGTATTGGGCGAAGCGTGGAGTCAGTCATGAGCAAAGGTTGAGTGGGCGGGGAATGAAAACCAATGAACATGTCAGCAGAAGGAGACGGCAGGCAGGGGAGGACAAAGAGTAAACAGAGCCAGGGAAGGGAGAGGGCACGGGCAGACTAGCAGAACAAGTCCAGAATGCATGATCATCCCAGTGCCTTGAGCTCATTGTAGTGGCAGGGAAAAGAGCACCTCAGAGGCATACCGGTATCATAGCTGCAAGAGCCAAGGGCAATGCTCAATTGGGTGGAAACATCATGTAGGAGCAATTCACAGAGTAGGGCTTGGACCACTTCTTAAAGATTTCTTTGGTTGCTTTCCTCTGCTAACTAGCTACAGCTGGATGAACTGCTACATTTTAAATTTTTATCGCCATCGGATCTTATTTTTATTGTACCGTACACAAAGAGAGCATCCGTTCGAGAGCATTGTGCCAGCATGAAAAAGTCCTGTAACAAGACAACGAGATGATGAAACAAGATGACAACAACCCTGAGGACGGCCAGTCTCAGTACCAGTATGGAGCAAGACGGATGATTTGTGTGGTTGTTGGAATGGTTTGTTTCGTGTGCTTTTCTCTTGTGCTGGACAAAGTGGAATGGATGGTCTCGATCACCAAGATTGCCGACAGCACGTCCAAAAAATGGGACAATGCGACAGCAAACGAGACGGCCTTATCATGGAATGATAGCAGTACACCAGCCACTGAAATAGGATCTGCAGCATCCAACCGATCTTCTTATTTCCAATCGGCAGTTCATGTTCTGCAACTGGGAGATCCAGCCTATGTCAAACGGTTTGAAACTCACATTGAGAGCAATCTGCAATTGGTCGACTGCATGGGATACAATTACATCTTTCACAATCTGTCCAGTGCCAAGGAGTTGCCCGATCGACAATGCATGCTCACATACAAAGTCGGAGTCATTCATGACGCGCTCCACAGCATTCCCAAAGGAGATTGGTTGATTTGGATCGATCTCGATGCTCAATATGTGGCTCCCCATTGCGATGACTTGGAACGAATCTTGCCCAAAGTAGCCTCCAACAATCATCGTCAAAGAGAAGAATGTGCGTTGATTGCCATGGCCAGTGGTGTCACCATCAATACAGGAATCATCATTGTCCGATCTACCGATTCCATGCTCCAGTTCATGGAAGACTTTCGCTTTCATCAAGAACGATATCCCATTTGCAGTGCGGCAGGAGATCAGATTGCCTTTCAAGCCATTGTCATGGAACGAGCGGCCAGATCCACAGGAAATAGCACTTTTACCCTCCGCAATATCTACGGCAATGCTTCCGAACACGACCAACTAATCTGTCCCACGCCAAACCGTAACTTTTCACCAAGGGCACAACGAGGATACAATGGTTGTTTTCAAAAGACAATGATCGACCTGGGGTATTCCGAAGAAAACAAACGATCCTTTCAAGACATTTGTCTGGTGGGATGTACCGATCGATTGCAATGTGCCGATTGTCAGGGAAAGTTTGGCAAATATCAGCGAGGACGGATTTGTGAAGCCAACAAACCGGTTTTCTTTCATCACAAACAAGCCAGACTCAACTTGACACCACCAGTTCTATCATCTGAAGGGCACAGAAGTAGATGGCTCCGATGGTGGTACGAGCTGTTCTAATAGCGACAACAACTAGCATTGAGAAAAACAATGGGAAATACCCTTTTTGGCTCGGACCTGTTGTTGAGAGCGCATGTCCACGGCTGCATTGAATCCATTTCCGAGCCAAGTGCAAAGAAAATCCCGACATATCCAACGTTGATTGGGTATGCCTCGTAAGATTAACCACAGCGCAAATTTGATGGGGAAGTCCCAGTCCTTGTCAGCCGAGGAAGTGGGCATCAATTTTATGATTAAGACAGTTCCATTTGGGTGAAATCCCTCCAGGAATCGACGTCATCAATTGACTAGCTAGCTCTAGAGGGCACTCTCACATCATTCAAAGGAATACAATACAATACCAATGAGGCTGGCATGAAGGTTCCCATGCCCAATGGCTGAACAAGGCTCGCCCCATCTTGGCACTTGTTGGAAAGGAAGTGTGTGACTTCCCTTGGTTTCGAAAATCACAGGTGGCTGATAGCCCAAACTAAAGCACGGTCCCAAGCTGTTGGGGTTGTGCATGGTCGAGCCGTTTGAGATTTGCTGGCTCTTGAAGCCTACGCTACTCGTACCGTACTACAAAAAGATTCCGTGCCGTTGTTTTGTTTAGCAGATCTGCTCTATGCGGTAACGGTACGGTACCAGTTGGCTGGAGGCAAAGACAACCTTATCTTTTAAGAACTGTCGTTTGGAGCCTCTCTCGTACCAAGCTTCTTTTCCAGAGAAATAGTCCTAATCAGAGCGTTTCCAAGCGATGTCTCTCTAGGCTTTGAATCCTTCCCACCGCAGCTTCAAGATCATTGATAAGCTCCTCGGTTGTTCGAGAAATGAGGGTACATTCGCTCGATGCGCAAGACGTTGATATCGGTAGATCGTTTCAAAGGCAAAATGAAGTGGTGTACGTTCCGCCTTTACACCGCCACCCTCTGCACTTTGCTGTGCCCGGGATCATTCGCCCTACCACCGGAGTAACTCTCTCATGGCTCACAGGTGTGTTGGTTTCCTCTGCCCACCTCCGTCGACGAGAAGAATGCCATCGTCGTACTTCACGCCCGTACGGTACCGTATCTGGAGCCGACGGAGGTACGGTATGGTATCGGGAGTTGATCCTGATTAGCAACTCGGATACGGAGGTTTGTAACGATCTGAGGCTGCTCGTACCGGTATGATGCGTGTGGAGGCGCAATGTTTATGGAAGACGAAGCCTTCGTTCAATTGAAAGTGCGGGGAAGTCGCAACTACAATCGGAGCTTTGAAGAGACCAAGCCACGCGCCAATGGGAATGTGGCTAGTAGCTAAATCGTTGGCATGAGCAAACTAGGAAAGCTGCGCGACAGCGAACTTTGCACCCATGCTGGGACTCTAACTTGTTCATTCGCAGCATTTACAACAAGACGAGCTGGAGGGCTACCGAGCTTTAGAGGCGGTGAGTGTTGGCCATGCTGCTCCAACGACGCCCCCCTAGAGAACAGCAGACGGTGTTGCGATCGATCGTTATCCGCCGGTGTACATCCTGTACATGAAGATTGTATTGACACCGACCTCGTCATATCGTCCGATTTGAGGCCGCTGAAACGATTTCTAATGTGCCAGGACCATGTCCTAGCTAATGAAGCCAACTCCCAAGAGACCCAGCGTGGTCAAGACTATCCGTTATTCGATCCTTTACCGCCTTCCTTTACACAGAAAACAACACTTTGATGCTCATTTACGATAATGCAACTGTATCTGCTCGGCCGCCCCTCTGCAGCAAATGTAGAACCGAGTCCATCTTAGCATTCAGGGCCTTTTCTACTCGGACAATTTTCGCCTCGAGAATCTGTTGCTTTGCAACCATTGTAGCATAGTCGAACTCAATGGGCTCATGTTCCAGCAAGTTGCCCGCCTGCGACCACGGTGGTTCCTCCCGGACTTTCGTGGCATGAATGATGCTCGGTGCTTGATTAGACCCCAAAACTGGTTGGTGAGTTCCACTAGTCAACTTCTCGACTGTGGGCCCTTTCTTCTGCCAAAACCTCAATTTGTGAGAAAATGCAGTGATGCAACTCACCAAAACGGCGACAGCCATTGCTCCCCAATGCACAAGAAAAGTTCCAAACATGTGCTCTAGTGTCAAGGTATCGGCATCAATGTTATCCCCTTCTGCTGCTCCACCAGACGCCATTCCACCACTCGAAAGGATCCTATGCGCAGCACTTGGGCCGTGGTGCGTCTCTTCCTCCGTGGGTTTCTGCAGTCGCCGATCTGATTGAGATGCACCGTCATAGTTGCAATTGTGATTTTGTTCCAGTTCTCTGTGAATTTTCCAGAGCTCTGTCAAGAATCCTTCCTCAATTAGCGATGTCAGATGCAGATCAAGGACATGGCGGACCAAACTTCCACATTTGTGTCCTGTATCCGCCTGGACAGCAAATCCAGACTTGATAGTCCTGACAACATCACCAACCCATTCTAGGTCACATGCTGGATTGTACTCTTTGTTTACCTGAGCACTTAACCAAGTTTCTTTGGTTGTGACTGCCAGAGCACAATCTCCACTTCTCAACGACTCATAAGTTGCCTTCTCATCCACTCTTGGTTTCCGGTGTGCCTTTGGGAAGGTTTCTCCGATGTAAAAGTCTGCATTGGTGTTTTCTTTTGTACAAACAGGGTAGCCATAGACAACTGCTTCCTCCATGGAATCGACCAGAACAGGTTCTACCCTGGACTCCACAAACAAAGAAGCAAGGTTTGCAGTGTATGTTGCTGTAATGACAAGCGCCCAAATTGTCATGCTGACCCCAAATATTCTTCCTGCAAAACTGCTAGGGGCATACTCAAAGTTCTGGGAGAAGTTGATGGAACTGAGATACAAGTTGTCAGAGAACCACTGGCTGAAAGATCTTCCTTCGCGTTCGCTGTGGAGCTGTTCGATGAGCTGGTAGACAAGGGCTGACAAGACTACAGTCAAAACTATCATTCCCCAGACTGATGGCGCAAAAGGCTTGGTCCAGTTGAGTGGATCGATATTGTTGGTGTCCCTCAGAGACCTTCTTTGGTCAATGAGAATCAAGCTCCCATCATACCATGGAGCTGTATACGTGACTCCTTGCTCCATTCGTTCTGCAGTATGATCCCACAGATGAGCTGCAATGTCATAGTTTTTAATACTCCAGAGCAGGAGATCGGTCCATGTCATGTTGTATTCATGTGGTCTCTCTGTAATGCCAAAATTGTCACGCCAGGTAAAATTGGCTTTTTCAGCAACAGCATCCAGTAGCTCAGCCAGCAGTCCTGGATTCTCTTTGTCAATACCAGTATCATGGCTGTATTTGAAGAAGGGGCTACCTTCATATTGTACCAAAACTGGCCTCAACGACATTCCAGAAAGGGCATCTTTCAGCTCAACATGTCCAAGTCGATATTTTTCATGGCGTTCACAGACATCCTGCGAAAAACTCGTGTCTTCGGGCGACAGCGGGCTTGTCCGGAACGCAGCCAGTTCACCCCCGAGACCACTGGCAGCAGGTACGACCAGGAACAAAACCACCAATGACAGTATTACGCAACGGTAAGGCACCATATTATGCGTGCAGATGCTCGATCGAGATCTACCACTCTGGCTTGTCCAAGCAACGATATTATGCTATCATCAGCATGGTTGTTGCTTTGCATCCCCTCTGATCCACCGTCAGTTGTCTGGTGTTGTCTGGTGTTAGGTGTTGTTGTGTGGGGTCATTACGACAGCGACGTCAATGTCCTTAATTCCATTGTCATTTGTCATCTAAGAAAATGTCTACACGCGTGATAGAGGGGACGGCATGTTCTTCATAATCCATTGAGATGATGAAGAGATAGGACTACGTGCCCTACCGTACGGCACTAAGGCGGAATTACAATTGTGTTGTCCCCAGATTTTGGGATGCTTTCTATCGAAAATGACCTGTGGTAGCGATTTATGACTATCCAGTTACCAGATTACCAGATTACTAAAATCAACCACAACCACAACAACCAAGTAGTAACACAACACTATAGCAACCTCTTTATCAACACCACCATCAGCCTTTTTCGGCTTATCAGGCGTGGTAGCTTAGCTATCGAAGCAACGAAGCGGTCGTACCTGATTGTCGGCCGTTCGACAAGAAGAGAAGAGCCATTCGTTCGTTCGTTCGTTCGTTCGAACACCATTGTCGAAGCTACCTTTCGCTCGAAGATACCGTTCGAAGCAACATTCGGAGCTACCGTTCGAACGACGGAAGAAGAGCTACCTTTCGGCCGTTCGAAGATACCGCGAGCTACCGTTCGAAGCAACCGAAGTAACGCTCGAAGCTATCGTTCGAGCGCCATTGTCGCGATCGTTCGTTAACGAGAAGAAGAAGAAGAAGACCGGTAGCAGCGCCATTGTCGAAGAAGATACGTTCGAAGCTACTGTTCGAACGACGACGAGAAGAAGACGACGCGACGCTACTGTCGTTCGCTTGTCGAGAAGAAAGAAGAAGAAGAAGAAGGAGCCTGTTAACCAAACGGTTCATTCGTTCGTTCATTCGAAGCAGCGCCATTGTCGCCGATTCGAAGCTACCGTTTCGGAGCTACAGAACGACAAGAAAAAGAAGAGATCCTCATTGCCAGTGTAATCGGCAGAGGAACAAGAGAAGAAGAGAAGACCTCCAAGCGGCATAGCAACAGAAGACCTCTCAAGAAGAAGGGGCACTCTCAAGTGGAGCGAGAGATAGAGACTCCAAGTGGGAAGCAGAGGTTGGACTTGGAATATTGATCCCTCCAGTCTGGATCAATTCCTGCCTCATTGTCACCAAAGAAATCGATTGAGCCAAAGGAGAGGGGACGCCTGATCCAAGAGTTTTGGCCTAGACTGCCACAGACTGGGTGTGCAGGCTCATTCCGTGGAATACAGCCTTACTTGTCTGGGTTGTGTACAGTTTGCTGTTGGAATAGGAGCAGGAAGAAGACCCAACAACTGTGCTCATCCAAGTTACCGCAAGAGAAGAGTAATTGGAGGCGAATATGGCAGGCAATCTTCAGCCATGAACAACTATCTAAAGAATACCTCGGTATTGCGAATTAGCCACGAGGACAGCATTGAATGATCAAGGATTGGATGCCTTCGTCTCACTCGATACCCTTTACCGATGCTGATATCAAGAGCATCTGCGAGAACGTGAGGAAACCAGGTGGTACCATTCCAATCCAGCCATTGCGCTGCAGCCACTGCCGAAGCTGCGCAGCAGTTCAGCCCAGAGAAGTTCCCAAACGGGACGACAGCTGGGAGTTTGTTTTGAGAAGCGACTCAGACAACTACGGTTCTACAATTTCACATGACACGAATCCAGCGTGAGTTCACTCCCAACCAAGCCAGTTGGCGAGATTGAATAGAGTTTGGGCTTTATACGAGTCCGAACGAAAGAGATCGATGTTGCGGATCCTCCCCAACTCTAAGGTCGAAGATGTCCGACGAGCTGGAGTCTATTGACAATGTTCTGAATGTCAAGCAGGCGTTTGCGGTGCCCTCTGGCTTATGTTACAGATCCAAAGTCACTTTGCCAGGAGCACTTGATACCGACACCGCAGATGAGGCTGACCCAGGTTTTGGCCTTCCATCGCATCCTAAGAATTGGTCCGAAGAACAAGACATGCCGGACCTCATTTCGTACAAGACAATCAGGCTGTTTGGCCATCATTCGGTCGGTTACTCACGGTGGACCTTGTTGGACATGGGTCCAACTTGTGCAGCGCAACAGAACGTCGAGCACTTACTTGGCCATGAAGGTTCATATCTTGGTGATTCGTTCCAGGCTCGTACCAAGGCATTCGCGGATAGAGCCATTGAAACTATTTCTTTGATGGGAAGTCCCGCAACTTTACTTTTGAGCGCTACTGTAAAGGCTTACCAAGGCCTTCACCGATCTGGAAACTGCTGGTGAAACCTTTACTGAGAGCCGCAAGATTCCGCAAGCTTCTGTCCGGCATTACAGACCCAAACCTCAAGACCGCCAAGTCCGTCATTCAAGCAACTCCGCATCTACGCGAGAGTTTCCAGAGGCTATGAATTACTTAGCGAGCAATTGATGTCGCTGAACCACTCACCACAAGAAATATTTCATCTGTGTCTGGCCGTGGTCGAAGCGGTGGTGGAAGAGGACGAGACGTGGCGGTGGTAGATCCCAAGGCCGAGGCTATGGAAGAGGCCGAGGCAGGGGACGAGGCCGTGGTAGAGGCCATGAAGGCCGGGTTTTTGACCCCAATAACCCAGGAAGATATTACCATCCCGATGAGTGGGCTCAGCTCACATCGGCGCAGCAGCAACAGTGCTAGGGACGCCCGCGATGGTGACAAGCGGAAGATTGCCGAGCTGCGAGACACAGTTGTCAGATACCCAGTCCCAAGTCGCGGAATTGCAAGCCGAGAAGCGATCCCGGACTGATGTTCCTGGTGGATATAGCGTAGGCAATGCGATGAACCGTGCGAGCATGAGTCTCTGGTTTCGCACTCTGCGATCCGTTGCTACTTATTTGCCATCATCTCGGATTGAGCTTGACAGCCATGCCGATACATGTTCTTGTGGGGAAAGTGCTTACGGGGACATGACACGGGAGAGACTAATATCCGTCGAAGGGTTTTCAACTGATCTTGGAACCATACAGAAGTACCAATTGTAACTGTGCTGTGGCTTATGACGACCCACTCACATCTCTAATTTATATTTTATTTTATCATCAATCTTTGCTTATCAAAGTCATTACAGAAAATCTCATTTGTCCAGCTCAGCTGCGACATCACCAGTTAGTTGTCAACGACGTGCCACTGTTGCACCTACCGTTTGAAGACAGAACAAATGAATCCCACTCCATCATCTGTGGTGACCTACGAATCCCACTCCAAATGGACGGTGTTATCTCATACTCCCAAATCTCTCTCTTTG